ACGCAAGGTGTAAAGTAGGCACTGGCGGCGTCATTTCTTAGAATTGACCTTTGGATCGTGTAAATAGACATAGCTGGATAGATGACGGATTGACGGGTCTGCGTTAATTACATAATAATATAGTAAATTGAACGATGTACCTGGCTAGATAAGTGTGTTAAGCTGTATGTGCTGTCCTAATGTTAATAGTTATCCAGACGTTGACAAATACATACTAGCTTCAAAACAATGTTCTTTTCTTATTTTCACACCCCAACGCCTGTTCCATACAAAAAATAAAGATAATGATAAGTTTGTTATCCTCATAAAACAAAATTAATTAAGCAGGTTCATACTTCATAGTCGATAATAGTTGAGGTTGTTGGAATTAATTTCACAAATATTGTCTTTTTTTAAAATTATCACCAATATGGTGGTTTAAAAACAATTGACACATATATTGTATTTTTTTTAGGTTAACAGCGACCAAGTCGGAGACTCAGGCGCGGCCGCTACTTATTGATTTTCCAATAAAAGCCAGAGGCGGCGCCCGAGACTGGGGCGTTAGCACTGTTTATATGGTCTCAGCGCCGGCGCCCGAGACTGAGGCGTGGTCGCTGCCTCCCTCTTCCACTCCAACACCATATATACTCTACCTTTCCTTCGGTTCTACACCACCAAAAAAATCAACGAAGTTACAAGAGAAGCTCTGGTGTTGCTGTCTGGTTGCTGGGAAGAAGGCTAATAATAGGTCAAAGACGTATTTATTTTTTAATATATTCTTTAAATGCTATAATGATTTTGTTCAGTTAGTAATTAGCGAGTTTGTTTTTTATGTAGTGGTTTTAGAAGATTTGAACTAGCTGTTCTGTGGAAATCAGAGAAAGTAGAGGACAATTTGGGCGTCCATTTCGTTGGTGATAGAAGTTTTCAGTTGACTGTACCCTCCAGGGTGAACTATCAGAAACGTTGTGATAATCTAATTCGGAGAATACGGCGTAAAGATGAAGTAGTACAAGATAGTGTTGTGATTATAGGTTTCACTTACTGTCTTCCAGAATGGCAGAATGGTGTTTTAATCCATTATGCGATGCCTATTGTGGATGATAATAGCTTGAATGTGCTTTGGAATTTTATGGCACAAACCCCTTATTGTTTGGGTGCTGAGATACATGCTGAGCTTAGTGAGGATCAGGGTGGAGAGGAAGAAGATGACACGTGGAGCGTGCCATCCGATCATGACTATGATGACAGTGATGACGGAGAGGAGGAAGATGATGATGAGGAGGAGGAGGAGGAGAAGGAGGAGGAGGAAGGAGAACAACCTAATTATCCTCCATATTTTTACTTGCAGGGTAATGAAGAGGACGATGAATTATGTGTTGTTGATTCATATGACGTAATTCCAATGCCTATTGTTGCTGGTTTTGATGGAGAATTCTACAAGGGGCAGATATTTCACTCCAAACAAGTTGCACAGGTGGCGATTAAACACTACGCACTACAACGCAACTTTCAGTATAACGTGGTGGAGTCGTCACCTTCGATATGGAAGATCAGATGTTTGAAGCACAAAGATGACAATTGTCCTTGGATGGTGCGGTTTGGATGTCGAGATGTGGGAGGCGAATGAACTGTGAGAAAGGCCGAGTTGGTGCATTATTGTAGCAGTACGACTCAACCGACTGATCATTGCCATCTTGATGTCGACGTTATATCTGGGTCCGTGAAACACTTGGTACGTGCCCAACCAAATCTGAGTGTTCTAACTGTGCAGGCCAAGATGAAAGATAAGTTTAATATACAAGTTACTTACAAAAAGGCTTGGTATGGGAAACAAAGAGCATTGGAGAAGTTGCATGAGAATTGGGAAGAATCCTACGACTATTTGCAAACATTCTTGCGGGTGCTAAAGAGAAAGATGTCAACATCGGTGATTGATTGGGTAAGAGTTCCTTCAGCTCAACCAGGACATTCGATATTTCATCGAGTATTCTGGGCTTATGGATCTTGTATAGATGGATTCAAGAATTGTCCGGGAGTCATTGTTGTTGATGGAACATTTCTTACTGGAAAGTATAAAGGAGTGCTACTCATGGCGAGCTCATTTGATGGCCGGAAGAAAATTTTTTCAATTATATTTGCCATAGTGGAGAGCGAGAATACTGATAGTTGGTCATGGTTCATAAGTCACGTTCAAGGTTTGACCGATCGAAATGATGTATGCATCATTTCAGATAGACATCCAAGACTTTATGAAGCCATGAATAATATCGGAAGAGGCTGGGAGCGGAGGTGGTCCATGCGACACTATGCAAGCAATTTGCAAAGGAAGACTAAAAGAAGGATTATGTATAAGCAACTATTTCGAGTCCGTAAGCCTTTTTCATTTAATTTTGTTATTTATTTGAATGTATTATTTATTATCAAGTAATTTTGTCACGAATATATCTAACTCGTGTGGTTGTTTATTTTGTTAGCCGGAGAAAAACGCTTGGAGAAGTTCGATCGTCAAGTTGAACAATTTAAGAAGGTGGCCGCTGGTAGGAATATTTTTTGTGATAACTGGGTGGACCAACATCAGATTCGTTGGAGCTTAGCACATGATGACTACAATGGTGGGCGTCGTTGGTCTATCATGACATCCAACATGGCAGAGAGCATCAGTGGTGTTTTCAAAGGTATTCGTTCACTTCATATAGCTTCTCTTGTGCAACATACCTATTGGAGATTGTTGGAAAAATTCCATAAGATGAGGTTGGAGACAGAAGCACAAATTAGAAGTGGTCGTTCACAGTACTCCAATAAGTGCGAAGAGCTGATGAAGCCGTGGTCACAAAAGGCAGTTGGACATTCCGTGACAGCGGTTGATCGACGTCAAGGCATCTATGTCGTTCCGAATCCTCCCAACAATTTCAACATGACGGGTTCAAACACACTCACAGTGCACTTCGACGACCGTAACCGGGTGGGATTTTGCACTTGTGGGAAATTTCAAGGAAATAAAATTCCTTGCTCTCATGCCATTGCAGCTTGCAACCGAATGAGGGCTAATCCGTATAGGTTTGTAAGCGACGTCTACAAGCTTTCAACAGTGTTGGCTTGTTATGGGACAAGTTTCACACCTCTTTGTGGACCTAAGGGTTGGAAGAAGCATAATGAACCTACTCTCCATCCTAATCTGCACATGGTTAGGAAGTCGGGGAGGCCAAAATCAACAAGAATTAACAACGAAATGGATTGGTGAAGGGAGGGTGCATCACACCAAGTGTGTAGCAACTGTAACCAAGCGGGACATAATGCATCAACCTGTGGTGGCCAAGCAAGTGGGAGTGGGAGCAACCGAAGAGGGAGTGGTGGCCAACGAAGGGCGAGAGGTGGTAGAAGAGGAAGAGAGGTGATAGACGTGGTATGTAGTTTGTTCGAACGGAGATATAATGTAGCAGTTGTTGTTTTTCTTTCATGCCTTGTAGAAGTTGTTGTTGTTTGGAGTTTTATGATATGAACTAGTTGTTGTTTGTTGGTTTTATATTTAAAGTTTTCATTTAGACAATAGCACTAACATGAATTAGTCCACATGAAATTCAAAATAGTCCCAAAGAAGTACATAATAATAATAATAATAATAAATATCCCAAAGAAGTACATAAATAGTCCCACTAACGACCACCACCACGACGACCACCATGCTCTGACACTAGATGGCCGCCAGTACCACACCTCGTTGCCCTCCTAATCCGTGGAGGCCTACCATCATCGTGATGAGGCTCTTCTCCCTCCACTATATCATCATGATCCTGTGTACCGAACTTGTCATCCACCTAAGACTGAACCTGCTCATCTGGTGCACCAGATGCTCCCACTCCAAGCTGCTGCTCATAAGCCCACATCGATGTCCAAAAAACCTGATCACCATCTAGACGCTCCCACCCGTCTGGGTCCAAATCTGGTACAGTTTCACTACCTGATCCCTTGTGTCCTCCTCTCATCACAGCATGCTGCGGTGTATGAAAGCTATCTTCCGGTGGCTGAAACTGTGGGCCCGAACTGGTGCTAGCCTGAAATTCGGCAAACGCGCCCTGCTGAAACTGTGGTTGAGAAGGCGGGTGGAACTGGAAGGCCGGAGTAGGTCTGACATCCCTAGCTGTACCCGTGGGTTCGGATTTTGTTGCCATCCCTAGCTGTAATCCTTACTGCCAACATGTCAGCCAACTCCTCCATCCGGTCAGTGGACATCCCCCCATCTCGAATTCCATCACGTAAACCCAACTCTGCGGACTCCATGCTGTCGTATTGAAAATTAAATTTAAAATATAAAAAATTCTACACATCTAAAAAAAATTAAAACACAAATATGAATTAATAAAAAAACTAATCGTTGCGTTCATTGAAACTCCTCTCCGTGTGCCTGAACGTCTAGTGACATCTCGATACCGCTCTCGATGCTCCGAGTGGTAGGCTAAAGGTACGTCAGTGTACCTCGTACGCGATGAACTCATATCAACGGTTCCACAACTCAACCAACTAGCTGGCTGCCTGTATAAACTGCTGGCCACGTGATGGCCCATGCTTGCCCTGGTGAAGGAAAAACCTAATCTCAGCCGCGGGATGTGGGTGATGAGGCGGGTTTTGAATCATTCCAAACTGTCCTAGCACACAATCTGGATGGTGCCACATTTCTAATGAAAAGCAAATCAACGGAACTATTGCTCGAAGCGTGTCGGACTGGATCACAGTACCGCTGAAGTCGTGAGTTCTATCAAAGTAAGGACGCCACTGCACACAAAAATTGTGCACCAAATTACTCCTAAATCTAAAACAAATCAATGAACACTATTCTAATCAACGAAATGTTATATACTAACCACGAATGTCGAGCACTCGTAAAACCACAGCTTGTATAGATAGAACTGATCACCACGCTGACGGGTATGGGTCGAAAGCCATCGAAGCCCTCGTGGGTGGGCGTCATCGGTAATTTGTGCCCCCGTCTCTACATGTAGTGGTGTTGTATGAGGAAATCACTCCCATGCCCTGAGCATCAGCAAGGCGGACCATCCACCAAGGTCACCACCTAGAGAAGAAAACGCAGTCATCTGCAGCGCCGACCTACCCATTTCACGGTATAGGTAGGATAGGACAGCTGCTCCCCAAGCAAACTTCCCCGCTCTGCGGCAATCATCCACCAAAAGTAGGTACTGCAGATGAACTGAACCTCCAGACCGATCGGGGAACAAAACACCTCCCAGCAGAGACAGAGCATAAGCTCGTGCAAACTGCTCTGTAGTCTCTGGTGATGCCGAAAGCGGTAGCTGATCGAAAGTTTCCCTGAGCCAAGCAATCCTAATGGCGCCGCCGCCAAGATCAGTAGGAGCCCATCCTAACCGCCGAAGACTCATATCCCTCCAGTCCTGGTCTGGTATGTCTACTATGACGGCATCACCGTCGATCGCTAGACCGGTCAGTGTCGCAACGTCCTCTAAAGTGATCGTCACCTCACCGAAAGGCATGTGGAAGGTCGATGTCTCGGGTCGCCAACGCTCTACGAGCGCAGTAATCAAACCCGGATCACCGGTAAAAGGGGCCAATGGGAGAACCGTAAACAAGCCCGCATCGATGAGATACGGCTGGTAAAGTGGATGGTATCTGACTAAATTGCTCGTACCTCGAATGTGGTAAGGTCGATCACCAACCTATAGTGCATAAAACTTATATTAATTCAATTTCATGCGTACTTCTAAATTCAGTGCACCTAATATTTATATTTATATATCTAATTTAAACTTATTTTAATTCTATTTGTAATTTAATTATATTCTAATCTAATTTCAGTTCAGTTCAGCTAATAAAAAAACTATAGAAATAGTTTGAAAACTTACCTCGTTTGCACAAACTGCGTCAATACGATGGTGACCATGATCCCAAAGAAGTACCGGATCCACCGGAGCTGTATCAATTGTCGTAGGTGGTGGTCTCATGGAATAACTGTCCATAAGCCTAGGAACTAGAAAACAAAATCAAAACAAAAAAAAAAAACTCGCCGCCGGCGAAAAATCCGGCCACCGCCTGTGAAAAATTCACCTTTGTAGCGGTCGCCGCCGCCGCTGCGACCTTGACCTCGCCGCCCTCTGCCCCTTCCTCTGCGGCGGGCGAGTTGCTCCTGCTCGTCGTCGAACATGCTCGCTCCCAAAAAACCAGATTTGCTTGACTTGAGGGAAGAAGAGAAGAAAGCAACAGCAGTTCAAAGCAGGGCGCCTTCGTCGGGGACCTGGCGCGGTCGCCTGAGTATGAGGCGGGCTCCCTCCTTTCTCGGCGCTGCCGTCGGACTGGTCGGCGTGGGCGTGGGGGTACTTGGTGTGGGGGAAGTCGACTGAGCTGGTGTTATTTCTTTCTCTCGGGCGAGATGGGGTGAGTGGCGGAGAAGAAGATAAGAAAAGAAGAGGGTTGCGATGACGTCTGAGTCTCAGGCGTTGGCGCCATTTTGAAAAATTCAAATAGCGCCAGCGCCTGAGTCTCGGGCGGCCGCGCTTCAGTCTCAGGGTTTGGCGATTTCAACCCGTTAGAAAAAACTCAAAACGCGCCAGCGCTTGAGTCTCGGGCGGGGATGCTTTAACCCTACAAAAAACACAATATATGTGTCAATAGTTTTTATACCGCCATATTAGTGGTAATTTTTTTTAAAAAGGCAATATTTGTGGAATTAATCCAGGTTGTTGAAAGTAATACTTTGTACAGTTTTATTGTTAAAAGCACTATATACATTACCATTGAGTCATTGATGTTCAATTTTTTTTCCTTTCTTTCATAGTCATCCATAAAGGTTCAAAACAAAGTTATAGAATAGAAAGTAACCAAACTTGATAGTCGACTAATAGTCGAACTACCATTGTGAGAGCTTTTTGTGTCATGAGACGGACAATCCTCTTACATCAACGTTGAGCACATACAAATTAATTCGAGGCCAAACTGAGTGAAAATCTCCAAATATTCTCCAAAATAGCGCCACCTTGTCCATGAGAATATTCCCCCGCCAATACATGTCAAACCACCATTTGGTTAATGAGAAACAATAATCGATCGCACAATGCCGATGAGTCGACAAGTACTTTAACTTAAAGCATTTACAACTTGGTACCTGAACTTTAATTATTTTGCAAATAAGGACCCAAAAGTGTCTTTAAGAACATCTAAGACCCAACTCATAACAAATTAGCTAGAATAATTCAACCAATACCACACATTATCAAAGTCAACTTAGGAATTTACTGTTTAGTACATGACCTTGAAGTGTTTTACAATGGGATACCCAAACTTTAGGAGTGGTTTGGATGAAGTATTTGTATGAGTTATTTGAACACAAATAAGTCGTTTGACAACATTTTACTGAAATGCGTTATTTGGGCAGTGAGTTATTTAAAAATAACTCAAAACGAGTTATTTGAAATAACTCATTTACCACTCTGCTTTTACCAAATACCATATGTCAAATACCACATTTGCATGGTTCTTCCAAATGAGATACTTTATTTCAATTACCACTGAAATAACATTAAAATACCACATCAACAATAAATGAGTTAGTTGACTCTACAAATACCACATTGACAATTAACCCATCCCAACGCTAATTTTTTTGCAATCCCAAAAAAGTCTTGAAGCGTATGTAAGACTTAACTCATACCGAAAATTTTGAATTCAAACTATAATAGAACGCATACCAAGCCAACATAAAACATTTACAGTTTAATACCATCATTAATCGTATGAATGTTTTTTCTTAATCTTAGTGAGATCCGGAAGATGAAGGTGACAATGTTGAGTACACGCAATTCTTATAACAAACACAATATAATTCATGAATGGAAGCTTTGAAAGTCACGAAAGAAATTGCAAACAGTCTTGGATTCTTTTTTAATTACATGCACAAAAAGCGCAAATAATGTCGAACCCTACATATGAGAGCAGAACATATGTCATAGATCCGGATAGGAAAAGATGATATACAACACTGAGACAGAGTCAGTCAAAGATGATTTTGCTTTATTTCCAAGTGAGGTTCGTATGACTTATTGATCATCAGGATCACACTTATGTAAGAAATATTGCCAAATGCATTTCACAAACGCGCCAGGATCCAGCATCCATTGATAGTGGCGGCGGCTAGCTACTAGATTGTTTGTAGTTACTGGTGGCGGATTCCGAAAGCGGCAGCTGGTTTGTGGCGATAAAACATGGATTTTGACGGTGGCAGTCTGATTCCAGCGATGATTGAGCGGCAGATGCGCGCAAACGTAGAATTAGGACGTTTAATTTGAGGATTACTACTGGGAGATACCATTAACAGCAGCAGCAGGGTGGCATGATGTTTTCGCCGGTTGTAATTACCTCTCTATTAGTAGTGTTAGTCCACTTGTACTGTTCAGGCATCGTATTAATCTTCATTAAGAAAGAATTCATATCTTCTAACCTAAAATCTCTTGGCAGACATTTTTTTTACATGATTATAGATCCGATAAATATATATTTTTGTTATAATTGATATTTTACATTTATTTTCAATCGAACATTCATTAACTCAAATGACATTTGACATACATCAGAATAATTAATAATGGGTGCTCTCGGCACACTGTTAAAATATATATTTAGAGACCTACAATAACTTGGATATAATTTCAAGTTAGGTAACTTGTATAGATCTAAACCGTTAAAATCGATCAAACTAATTTAAACCCATCAATTAAAGAAATAAAAAATAAAAAAATAAGTAAAAAAAAATTAATAGCAACAGGTTGGCTGTCACCACCTTCACAATTTACATTTCTTATATATTCTCTTTCCTTTTTCATATTTAGTCGATTTTCCTTATTTTAATTCTTATTGATTAGAAGCGTTACGTAAGCCTTCCGTAATAACTTAACTCTTTACTTAACACGACGTTAATACTCATTACGTAAAAATACCTTCCATTACGTAAGGCTTCCGTAATGACATTTTACAACTGTTACATAAAATACACATTCATTACGTAAAGGTTAAGGAACGATAGTTATTTCTTATGTAACAGTTAAATCGAAAGAGTTACGTAAGGCTTCCGTAATGACTTTGCACTTTATGTAACGCGAGGTTAATACTCATTACGTAAAAAGATATTCCATTACATAAAGGTTACGGAACGACAATTATTTCTTACGTAATAGTTAAATTAGTAGCGTTACGTAAGGCTTTCGTAATGACTTAGCGTTTTACGTAACGCGAGGTTAATACTCATTGCGTAAAGACACATTCTATTACGTAAGGCTTCCGTAATGATCTTTTACAACTGTTACGTAACCATTACGTAATGCCTGTTGTATTTTACGTAATGCAACTTGTGAAACCTGCTATAGCAGGTAAGAAAACTCAAGTTACCTTACTTCAAGTTACCATAGAAAATCCCTATATATTAATAGAGTTTGGTGCTCTTTTCTCTTTGCCTATTGACCAATTCAATTTTGTCCCTAGGTAAAGAAGGAACAATCTTCTTTAAAAAGAAATTCCAGTGTGTGTCACTTCTTACGACTTAAAACCACAAAAAAACACACAATTCCTTTCGAGAAGGAACTTAACTTAATTAAATTTAATCGACACAAAATTTTCAACAAATGAAAGAAAGAGAAAGAGAACAAGTTAGTCAAGCCGGATTAAGCGGTTAAGCAGGTTTGACAAGTGATTTGAGATTTAATGGTCGGATCATATTTAACCAGTTTAATAAAGGTTAACAAAATATGTGATAAAACCTCTAATACCAAATAAATTATGCATGTATTTGGCATATTTCAAAACAATCTCACTAGTTTTTTAAATAAAAACAATCACACTAATCTACATTCATATATTACCAAATTATTTCTTCAAAAGAAATATGTATTACCAAATTATCCATCCTCATCTTCAAACTCAATTTTGGCTGGTTTAACACAATTTTGATTTTTTTTTTTACAGAACCGTCCAACCAGAATATATTCCAACCATTCAGATGATCGGTTTTCATCGGACCATGTTGAATTATCCGGCCGGCCGAATAATGGTTTGATAACCATGAAAGAGAACCAAACAGTTTTTTTTTTTTTTGTGGTGATTAGTATCTTTCTTTTGATTGTTGTAGTTATTCCTAATTCAATCATGCCCTCCTCGGATCTAAAAAACTTGGATCAAGTTGTGAGACTAGACTAGACTAGTAGCTCAACCCCAAGACGAATTATACATACAAGGGAACAACCGCTCCTGAGAATCTGTTCTCTACTTTTTTTTTTTTTTTTTGTGAGAATCTGTTCTCTACTTAATTAGTCGATTACAAACCTCAGAATATTCACTTAATTATTTGGTGGCGAAGCTTCGTGTAGTACTGCGGTTGAGCTACCTGGTGATCACACTGGTGCAATCAATCCATGCTACTTTGCAAATACATAAAACTTTTAGTTTTTTTTGTGTTGTAAGTCTTGGACTTGAATCCATCCTTACTAATTAATTATGAACCGATCGATTCTAACTTCTAAGTTTAGGCCGCAACTGATCATTTTCTGATAAACAAATCAACGTACAACTCCTCTGCACAAATCACAATTACTTGATATTTTCCTAT